GTATGAAAAGAAATATTTCACGAGTGGCGGTGGCCACTAGTGAAATATGATAAATTTGATACCAAAAGATGAAAATAAATCGTGTATTAAAATTTTATAAAAAAAAAACTTGAATTTTCTGCTTATTATATACATTTTCGTTTTTGAAATTAGACTAAAATTTGAAAATTTTCCCTTTAAATTTTGTGTTTTGGCTGAATTTAGAAGGAAGAAGTTCGGCAAGACACCAGTGAAAGTACGGAAAATATGTTTTATTGCAGTAAAAAATTGTTTTGTGACAGTGAAAATACGGAAAATGAAACAATACGCATTTTATTTCATCAAAATTTGGCACATAATGAATTGTTCTAGAACAAAACATTATTATTCTTCATCTTAAAATGTTCATACAAAATCACTTAGAACATGTAGAACTTTATCAACATTTTTCTTTCTTTCAAGCAATATTTTATAAGAATATCCAAATGATACATTTATATAGGTTTTATCAATATTTGAAATACTTATAGAATATGTGCCCATTGTAGACCAATTCACTTTAAATGTATAAATAATGACAAGGCAAAGAGGTTAAATCTGATCATTACTTAAAAGTAAGCTATGCAACGAAGTAACTAAATCCATTATATCATGAAACATATAATTAGTTCTAATGTAATTTTCAGTCAGAACAAAGACAAAAATGGTTGAATACAATATGGCATAGCACATACTGAACACATTTTGAAAACTGGGACAGGACAAAAGGGTTATAGATAAAGCAAAAACCGACAAAATGTCTTTCTTAAGCTTGATAGCAGTTGCATAATCTACAAAAGTACAATAGTACTACAAAATACGTTTTATTGCAGTAAAAAATTGTTTTGTGACAGTGAAAATACGGAAAATGAAACAATACGCATTTTATTTCATCAAAATTTGGCACATAATGAATTGTTCTAGAACAAAACATTATTATTCTTCATCTTAAAATGTTCATACAAAATCACTTAGAACATGTAGAACTTTATCAACATTTTTCTTTCTTTCAAGCAATATTTTATAAGAATATCCAAATGATACATTTATATAGGTTTTATCAATATTTGAAATACTTATAGAATATGTGCCCATTGTAGACCAATTCACTTTAAATGTATAAATAATGACAAGGCAAAGAGGTTAAATCTGATCATTACTTAAAAGTAAGCTATGCAACGAAGTAACTAAATCCATTATATCATGAAACATATAATTAGTTCTAATGTAATTTTCAGTCAGAACAAAGACAACAATGGTTGAATACAATATGGCATAGCACATACTGAACACATTTTGAAAACTGGGACAGGACAAAAGGGTTATAGATAAAGCAAAAACCGACAAAATGTCTTTCTTAAGCTTGATAGCAGTTGCATAATCTACAAAAGTACAATAGTACTACAAAATACTTTATAATTTCAAAACATTCACCCATTTTAGTCGGGTAAACACCTTTAAAGTATGAAAGAAACGTGTTGACCACTTACTTACTTGTAAAAACAACATTTTTCAAGATCTGTCTCTGGATCTGTGTCTTCAATAGTTTAACTCTTTTCTAAATGCCTTTGGACACACTACAGCTGGTATGTGTAGCTCGCCGGTTTGTTAGAAACTTTAAATTGCTGATGACCTGTCCACGAAAAGCACGAAATGATCAACAGTGATTGCAAAAGTTATTGATTATTGAAGGAGTTAAGTTGATATGTACAAGCAGTAAGAACATGTATCACGCTTGTTTCTTTTATATCTGATCACGTTAAAAGTCACCTGACATATTTTTTCGTAATCCCGCGGTTACAACATTGCCAATTTTTCACTTTACTGTGCCTGCGGTATTATCTTTTTACAGAATGTCTATATGTTTATATATCTAGTGTATATTTCATATGTCAGATGCTAGTAACACCTTGAAATTTGTAATGAAAGGTAATCCCTCGGAAGAACTGTAGACAACAAATCTAAATGATTGCATATTTAGTTTGATTGAAACAGTTAATGAGATATAATTTAAACGTGTATTATGCTCCTAGTGCCGTCTCAGGCAATATTCAGTCTTCAGCATTAACGTTCTAATTAAATCCTCTCGAAAAACTAGATTCTTTTTTTAAAACAATAAAATGAAGTGTGGATCAACATTTATTGCAGATGACACACAGTCCCAAAATACTTACTTTTATTAATTATACTTACAAAATTATGTTGTTGGCTGTCACAATATGTATAATTTTGTTGTTATCTTGTCTTCTGAAGAAATATGAGCCGCGTAATGACAAAACCAACATAGTGCATTTGTGATCAGCATGGATCCAGACCAGCATGCGCATCTGCGCAGTCTTGTCAGGATCCATGCTGTATGCTTACCAACTCTTTTACAAGTAGAGAAACTGATAGCAAACAGCATGGATCCTAATTAGACTGCGCGGATGCACAGGCTGGTCTGGATCCATGCTGGTCGCAAACCCATTATGTCGGTTTTGTCATGGCACGGCTCATATGTGTTTTAATTTATGCGTGTGCCAACTTAACTTATTGGTAATTGATTTCATTAAAATGCTTTAAAATTAAGGTAGACGCTCTTATATATGGATAAAATAAAAAAAACAGAACACAGAACAAAAAAATGCATTGATTATTACCGCATGCGGTGCTCTTGGTTTACATTCCCCAAGAGAAAGAGAGAGAGAGAGAGAGATGTCATTACAATCCGTTTCAGCTACAAACTATTTTGCATAGAATGAAATATTTAACAAGAAGTATTGATTGCGTATTCTATTAATTTCCGTGCGATTTAAAATTAAATAGGAATTCAACGCATTATGTACGGATTGTCAAAATTTAGAATAATATATCAAAATGTAAATTATACCAAAATGTGTACGAACGCTATTTTATTGAAGGCATAAAAGAAAAAATGTTATAAATCCCTATCTTTGTTCAAAATGTTTAATATAATAATCAGACCAATATTTCTTGCAAATAAACGAACTTATTGCTCAGTTACTTCTCTTTTTAACCAATTTAATTGCCATTTGATTAAATGATCAAATAAATTAGCATTATCGTGTAATTTCAACGTCAATAATCAAATAGTTTCTTCAACACGTGCAATATATCAGGATGCAATGTTATAATCATCGCAACCAAATGCGTGTCAGGTAAAATTGAATTGACATTTCCCTTCTTTCGCTTTTTCTTGTCTGATTTTTTCCCGTTTTTGTTTTTTATTACATACTTTTTGGTGGTTTATAGAAATATATCAGTGATATAAAACTGGTAATTTCACTGTTTAAAACAGTGAGATTACCACTTTGATAATTCCACTGTTTTGAATTTTAGCCCCTTACGTTGTTTCAGTAATATACAAGCGTGCACAGTACTGGGTACCAACTTAATGACGTGACGTCGTAAATGACGTCACGTTGTATTATTATTTGGCGCGCATTAAATTCAGTATAAGGTTTAATGTCTTTTTAAAACGTTTCTTTGCATGTAATAAAAAGAACATTTGTTTAGTTTAGTGTAAGATTGAAATATATTTCACCTTGTGAACACCAAAAGTTCATATTTTACTCGTGGCTGCGCCACTCGTGAAATATACCTTTTGGTGCTCAATCGGTGAAATATATTTCGATCTTACACTGAACTAAACAAATATCCTCTATATAACGATTGTTATACAATGAAACAAAATAGATAGCAGGACTCAGAAAATTTCGGTTAACTTAGGATTCGGGTTAAATGGCGATCAGATTTCTCGAATTTATCTTATTTTTTGTCTTGACCTTTGTTGCCTTTTTATGCATAATCTGCTATTGTTAGTTAATATAGTGGATGAAATATTGTCACTAACAACCTTTCTTAATAAATATCTTAATCTATATACAATTCCTTAAGAAAAGAAATTTCTAAAATTATAATTCTAGCGTTATCGATAAAGTTTCAAAATATTATAGAGTCTCGTTGCAGAAAATAGTTAATATTCGATTATATAGTTTTAATAGCTATAAATATCCGATGAATTAAAGATAATAGCAAAGGCATTCGGATATAAACCGTGGCCGTGACCCCAGCAGGATACAAACCCAGTACTTACTACGCAACCGCTTTAAATATTTATCCTTATTTTAAGCTATAACGTATTATACTATTCGGGTTTGTTATTTGCTAATTTTTCAGCCAATGTTATATTAATTTTAAAAACCAACATTGAATTAAACTTTTTCTGCTCTGTTTGTCATGGACTGAATTTAATTCTATTGGTTATAAAATATACCCTTAAGACTCTGTTGATAAAGAATTATTATTTTAAGACTCTGTTGATAAAGAATTATTATTTTCTTCAAACAGCGATAAATTATATATTGCATGTATTACATAAACACGGGGGAGAAAGTGATACACGAGAGATGGAGTTCTTATGATAACTTGTCAAAGAGTTCTTGTGATAACTGTCAAGGAGTTCGTCGGAAAACTATTGTATATACTGCAAAAACTCTCGTCAAAAATGGTAATCCCTCCTGTAAAACATATTTGGAATTGATTTATGCTATGAAGGTCCATAAGTCTGTAAATAATTATTGAATAAGTTATTTACAAAACAAAAAACAAACCTTTTGATTCTGAAATTACACCATATTTTTAGAATCAGAGTAAGCATTACATTAGTAATGTCTACTATAACAGTCTTCAATACGTTCCATAATTTACCAAACACGATGCTTTGTTACACTTATTGATTTATGGACTTAAATATTTCACGCATGTATATATATTTTTTTATAAAATTCAGGTATAGATGTGGATTTTGCCTTTCATAACGTACGGTAAATCATTCAATATGAGCAAATTCGTGTTGTTAATAAATTATATAATCATACATTATTTTGATAATTGACTCGAATTACATTCCTAATGTATACCACTTAATTAATTCCCCTTAGTTATATGCATAGATATACATGTAAAACAATTCCAGAGAGGAGGATAATTTATACGATGTCGATATTTTGCACTTTTGAAGTAACGACTATTGATGCATAAATTTCTACCAATGGAAATGTCAGCAATAATAAACGAGAATAAACACTCGTATTGGTTTCACTAACGATTTTAACATTTGAACAAGATACGCACGCTGAAAATACATTGGGTTATACTAAAAAAGAGCATACGGATTAAACTTTGGAGACAATTTTATTTTTATCACTTGTTTTTTTTTTGCAATTTTCGGTAATTGTGAAATATGACGCGTGTTAAAATCAATTTGTCTGGAACTCATTTTGAATTTGATCGTGAAATTTTAGAAAATAGAGAAAGAAGCAGACTCGTTGAAATGTGTGATGAGGCTGACAAAAATGCTGCGCCAATGGAGTTTTTTGTTAACCGACCTTCGGATTGCTTTGTAGCAGTACTAAGTTTTTACCAGACTGGCGAATTGCATATGCCAGCAACGGTGTGTCCAAAAGCGTTCAAAAAGGAGCTGATATACTGGGGAGTCTCAGAAACAGAATTAGACAAGTGCTGCCGATACAGGTAATTATAAGCAATATGAACTTTTGTAAGCAATTTTAAACAAGATTTTAGAAAAAATCTTTTTTAACTACGGCGATCCAAGACGTATGATTTGTTTAGTTTAAAAGCAAATTTTCTCAGTGTTCCAAATTTATCATTCCAGTTTGTATCAATTTTGTCCCACGTGTTAAATTGTTCATTTAATGTGAGATATTATATTTGAGTGGTAGTGCACTTATGCTAAGTTACGAATGTCTTATGAATTTGCTCAATAAAACGTAAAATGTTAAATACGTTTTAGATATATTTTACTTTACACAAGGTATATGCCTTCTTTCCTATATTAAATGATTCACAGAAATGCAGTTGCTGCTCATGTTCTAGTTTCTAAGGGCAACAGTGATAATTTTCTGATATTGATCCACACTGTATCAACTTATATAAACCATTATATATATTTTTCAATTGTTTTTACGGTATGAATCGAGACAAATACAAAACAAATTGAGCACAATAATTTTTATATTCCAATTTCAGATACTTTTCATTTTTCGATACTCTTGATACGCATGAAAAGTTTCGCCAGGCGACGTACAATCAGGCAATAAGTGATGGTATGCATATACCTCCTGATAAAGGGAGAAAGATAAAGTGTTTAAGACGTAAATTGTGGCGAGTGATCGATTTCAAAGAAAGAACTGTAATAGCAAAGGTATTCTATACTTTTGAACTTAAACTATAACTTGAGCAAAACCTTTTCTCTTCACTAAACACAACACACTACCTTTATTTATTTGTTTATACTAAAATAATTAACATCATTTACAGAAACGATTACCAAAAAATATAATTTTGTGCCAAACCTAACATATTTGGGTGATACTTGTTCAACAAATGGAAGTTATCACTAATTTCAAAAGACACTATCCATTTATTACATTATATCTATGTTCTCTTTTGATGTTACTTCAAATTCAACTTTTCTAATCGATGGGTTTGCCAATATTAGCACATAAATTTGAAATCTGAAGTTGTAATAATAGTCCGGATATTGAGCTCGTAAAGTCAGGTAAACGAATTTCTGGTGTTCGGCAACACAACAACTAATTGGATATATTAAGTCATCCTTATTATCGGAATACTGAATTTTTAAACTTTAATTTGGAAAACCGTACTGATGTATAAAAACAAGTATTGAAAATACCTGAAGGATGACATTGTTTAAACCAATAAAAGTAAACCGTTTATTGATTTCCATTGTAGTTTCCAATATTTATGGACTCTAAACTTGGTAGTCAGCAACTCACAAAGAGATAATATTTAACAACATATAAAGTATCAAAATATGCAAAACTGGTATGCGGAACAGAAAGTCTCTCGAAAATTAGAATTTTTTAAAGAACTCTAAATTTTTTAGTGTTATGTTAAGTATTTTAATAAAATTGGCAATGAGAAACATTCATTAGGAAATCCTTATCAATATTTAGATTTTCTGCTTATAGGTAAGCTAAACTCGAAATCACTTATTATTTGTTCCGTTTTGATTCGGATTTCTTAAGAAAGCTTCATTTAGCCATGCAGTCAAACTGTCCTTTACAGATAAGCATTACATCTATACGAAGTATCAAAATATCTTTGTCCGTGGAAGATATTTTTTGTGTGTTTTGAACATGTATTTGTTTACAAATGTAAACATATAATGCAATCTAAATGTAACAATGTATATCTAAACTTAAACTCCCGTCCTTAATATCTACTTGTAGAATGTTTATGCAAATGAACTGATTGACATTATTTTCCTGATGAATATTTCAAATTCATTATAATTTACATTTTCCCTTTGGAGATAAAATATGACATTTCATGTTTGATAGTTTATATTATATTAACCTTCAAATATCAGACCTAAATGAATTGCACTATAAGGAAATGTTTTATTGTTTATATCGATATCGAGATTCAGCTTTTCGCTTTCAGCATTATATTTTAGTCAATATAATAAAAATATATTTATTATTTTTCTGTCATATAATATAAATTTTCATTTTGTCAATATCTGTTAGTTCGTGTAATGATATCTCTTTATTGCCGCAATAAATATTTCCTCGCTGTAAATGGTCAACAGAAATTTTCAATATAAAGATCATAAAAAACATAATAATACTAGTAACAGACATTGAAAAATAAGATGTAACGAAAATCAATAGCACGATTTAAAACTGATTCATATTTGATCTAAACATAATTAACTAATTAAGTAATTAATCTAAATTATTAAAACGCAGGCAAAAGAAATCAATGAAATTTTAAATGCCTACAGAGAATTTACAAGTTTCGACATATTTAATTTTTTTTATATTATTTCATTCCCTTGATAACAAAGAATAACAAGTTTATCTTTTTAATTATTCAACACATATCTTTTTTATGTTAGTTTTTCTTTTTTTCCCTTTTTTCTTTTCTTCAATGCACTTTCAACCTTGAACGAAATTTGAAGAATCAAATTAATTTTATGCTTTTGTGTGGATTACTAATTTAATTATGAAAATAATATTTGATAATTTCATAGTGAAAATTATCAAATTAAATTTCACAATTTTCAAAGCAGAGACTACTTTTTTTAAAGATTTTTCCCAATGCGGTACCTCACTTTAATTTATGGTTACATTTCCGACTGATCTAGGACTGCTTAGAGCAAAGCAAAGCTTTAATTGATAAATACATTAAATTTCAAGAGCAGTCACAAAGATAAAACTTTCTTCAATTCATTCCATTTACCGATCACCAAAGCCGTCTCCACTGATTCGATTCCTTAACAGCCTGATAATTACACTTCCTTCATCATGCAAAACTGCTCTTGGTAACATTTGGGCATATTGCAATAACTATAACAGTCATCTGTCCGAAAGATAAGTAAATAACAACGTGTTCGTAAGATTTAAAAGATTTTATATTTTCCAAATTCTTAGCCGCTTCTTTAATGTAAATGAATATGTCAATAATTAATAAGTGTCTTTAACAATTAACAAGTAAATATTCTTTCGTATGATAGATGAAAAATTACTTAATCCAAATGAAATCTCTTCATATCAAGCAAATGTTGTTTCTATCTCCCTTAAAATAAACAACTTTTAAAAATGGCAGTCGATAGATGATGATATGGACTAATATATCCTTCCGCTTTATAACATAATTAAGTTAGACACAGTGAGACTTTTCACCTTTTTTAAATGTTTGTTTTAATTATTTAAACAAGCAATCATTCATGTTTTTGTTTAAAATCAATAATATCATCGCCATTTAACGTTGATTTTAGAAATTATTTGTCAGCTCAAGCATTCTTGTATTTATGAAATTGGTCTAAAATTGAGAATACTAGTGGGGAAAACGTATTTTAATATTCAAGTTAATATTGAGGAAATTCCATTGAAATCTTTCCATATTTAAGCATAAAATAAAAAGAAAATTTGTTTGTTTGTTTTGTAAGATGATAGCAGCTTTAAAATGAAAATACAACTGCATTAATTACTTCTCGTGAGAATAATGTTTTTTATAGTTCACTTAATGAGATGAATATAGAGGATATTGAATAAGTGTACGTTTAACAGTGAATTTTTTGAACGAGTTGAATAAAATAATATTATGTGAGCCTCTGGCGAGCATTATATTATTCTATTGAACGAGTTCAATAAATTTAGTATTAAACTTATACGAATTTAATATTCTATTTATCACATAGTATCGTATACCAAAAATAAAGACCGTTTGAAGTAATAAAAAAGAACCATTTTTCATTGACGCGTCATTAATAACGCTAACATTTAGCGCGTCTTAACGCTATGTTTATATAACGAAAATTACGTCACGAAAATATATACACGGTTGTGCAAAATCATTTTAACGGAGCCGTAAAAGCGGCGTAGGTATGTGATAAAATATCATCTTACACGCAAACAAACACATATTCTCTACATTATTTTCATATTTTGTATATATAAAATACAGATTTGACCTTGTAATTTTATATAGCTTTTCAATTTTTGTTATATACTTGATAATACTTTGTTTCAAAATTATTTAAAGCAACTTATTTGCTGCCTATAGAATATCAATTTATAGTTAGAAACAATAGAAATTATACCGTTTAAATACCTAAACATACTTTAAAGCAAACAACACATTATGAAATCATTGGTGTACAGTTTTAACATTACTTAGCTGTATTATAATGTGCTCCAAAACATTGTACTTTATTATGAAAATAAGTATGTGCTTTGATAACAGAGACAATCTCTGTTACGAAAAATGACCACAAACTTATTGAAACAACAAAGTTTTTTCTGTAACACATTTTATAAAAATATTCCATTAGAGATACCCATAAATAATGTGTAAATATTTTCCAGATATACCTCACTCTGGTGTTCACCATGGTACTTGTTTCTATAATGACACTTGGTTTTAGTACAGTACCGGCCTTCCAGCGAAAGTTGAGTAAGTGCGAGCTTCTAGAGTTCCTTGAACACTCTGAACATCAATATGCCGAAGAAGCCAAGACTAAACTAGGCGACCCTGATTGTTCGGAATCTGTCTACAAAGACAATAGCGATTTAGTAGACGACAAACTGTCATGGGAACAGACTAATGAAATTTATGTTGATGGGAAACTAACAACATATAGAACAAACGTGACGCTACCGTCTAAGAGGGTACCGTACTTCGTCTTTGACGTTCTGGAGTTGATTACATCCGCTTTCTTCACCACAGATTTGTTACTCCGACTGGTAACGTGTCCTTCCCTCAAAATTTTCATTCAGTCAATAACAAATCTTATTGACATCTTGGCAGTTGCAGGTTTCTATGTCCACCTCACTGTGATCAATATTGAAAGGGAGCACAGATATAGCATAAGTTGGATACGATTCATTAACTATCTACAAATTTTCCGGGTAATGAGGCTTTTCCGTATTGTGAGGAATGTACGTGCCAGCCGTGTACTTACATTCTCTTTACGTCAAAATGGACGGGATATGACATTGCTTGTTTTACTGGTAATGATTGAAGTGAGTACGGCGGCGTGTTTGATTTACTTTATAGAGGATAGAGAAACTATAGACTCTATACCTGAGGCCTGGTACTGGGCAATAATAACCCTAACAACAGTAGGGTATGGTGATATAACAATAAAAACTGGAGCCGGTCGTGTTGTTGCAGCAATTTTGGCAATATGTGCAGTTATTTTCCTGGCAATTACTCTTCCTATGTTTGTTAATAATTTTCTTATGTTATACCAATTTTCTTGTGTTGAAGACAATATACAAAGCCGAACAAAAAATAAAAAGAAAGACCCTTCTCAAATTATGCCTGTACCTAATATACCAACGAAAGACTTTTGAATGTCACATCAGTTGTGAACAAATATGAAACAATTCGTTTTTATGCTAAACAATATATGTTAGCAGAACAAAGAAAAACTAAGAAATATGACACGGTAGTTTTATGCAAATGAATGGAAAAAACGGCCTTAAGTACTTGTGCAGATGTTCTATGAACATTGTTTTGATCTGTGTAAATAATGCTGTTGTATTTTGATTTTTAAGTTGCTATCACCTTATTGTTGATAAAGTATGTAACCGCCGGTGTCAAGTGTTGTGCGGCAGCTTTGAAATGTTGCTGATAATCCATTTGTTCGGCTTCCTTTGCAATAATGGATTGCAGTTTAAGCTTGAACGAGGGCGTAAGAGATGATTGTCCAAAACCTCTTACAGACAAAAGTGTTAGATCAAGTGTGCTTTTGGTACCTATCTATTAGTCTTTTTACCTCGCTGTACCTCCCATATACACCATTCTTATTTATTATAACAAATATAAAATGGAAAAATAATTTTACTAATTTAGTTTAGAATTCTACGGTTTTTGAAGGTCTTTTTGCAATTCAAAAGTTTGTTTTGATATTAAATGCATTAGCTTTTATTGTCAGTGTACGGTGGCGCAAAGGTGACATGTGTGTGTTTTTATTTATCTCGTGGCCACGAGATAGCTATGTCGTGGCCACGAGTTACTTAGTCGTGGCCACGAGATACTATGTCGAGGCCACGAGTGAATAAGTCGTGGCCACGAAATAGCTAAGTCGTGGCCACGTGAAAATTAACCAATCAGAATACACTACATATATACTACATGCAACATTTATCTTTGAAAATACTGAAGATATTCACAGTGACTTTGAACTTGTCTTTGGAATCATATTAGAATGTCACTTTCCAATACCAATCAGACAATAATTTTGACTATAGCTCTTTGTTGGGACAATATTGTCAGTTTGTACGTATGACGGCTTGTTAACCTTGTTTACACGATAACATGAGGAGAAGGAATAAGTCCTGGTTTATTTTATTTTTTAGGGACATAAGATAGCCTATAAGGTAAAATCCTTGTCTGATGAATAATTTAGAAGGAATAAGCCATGGTTTATATAACCCAGAAAGATCATTGCACCTGATCAGTAGATGACATCTAATAATTTCAAGGTCATTGGGTCAAAAATCAGGGTCACAGTGACGTTAAATTTAAAATAATTGACAAGTCAATAAGTTGTATAAATGGCACTTTTACAGGCAGGTGACGTAGGGGCATCCTTGTACTATAGCACATGTCTAGTTAATTAGGGAAATTCACATAAATGGTGTAATCCGATTGGTTATTTATCTCGTGGCCACGACTTAGCTATCTCGTGGCCACGACTTACTAACTCGTGGCCACGACATAGTATCTTGTGGCCATGACTTAGTAACTCGTTGCCACGACATAGTATCTCGTGGCCACGACTAAGTTATCTCGTGGCTACGACTTAGTAACTCGTGGCCACTACTTAGTAACTCGTGGCCACGACAAAGTATCTCGTGGCCACGACATAGCTTTCTCGTGGCCACGACTTAGTAACTCGTAGCCGCGACATACTATCTCGTGGCCTAGACATAGTATCATGTTGCCACGACTAAGCTATCTCGTAGCCACGACTTAGTAACTCTTGGCCACGACATAGTATCTCGTGGCCACGAGATAAATAAAAACACACTCATGTCACCTTTGTGCCACCGTATAAGTGTTATAGAGTAGGTATCTTGTAGTAAGTGTCTAAGTGATTTGTTACTAATCTTCAGGGGCCTGTATCCCATTTTTTGAAAATTATCAATAAAACTTTTAAATACAGGATATTTGTTTAGTTCAGTGTAAGATCGGAATATATTTCACCTAGTGAGCATCAAAAGGTATATTTCACGAGTGGTTCCCAGTACTGTGCACGCTAGTATTTCACTGAAACAACGTACGGGGCTTAAATTCAAAAAAGTGAAATTATCAAATTGATAATTTCACCGTTTAAAACAGTGAAATTACCAGTTTTATATCACTAATATATTTCTATTAACCACCGAAAAACATGTAATAAAATTGTATCTTTTTACATGGTCCATTGCCGTTTGATTTGTGGATATCGATATAATATAACGTTAACAAATATCTTTCTACTTAGTTTCTTACATATTTAAGTGTATTTATGTTTTTACTTGTCATCAATAATTCTCGGCACGTGAACAAATCTCGTTCTACTGTGAACATGTATATAAGTATTTTTTATGCAATTATGTCGTAACCTTTGTTTATATTTGACAACAATACTTCTCGACAACGCTAACAAATATTTTTTTTCTTCTTCGTTTAAGTACATTTGTTTCTTACATGTATAAGTATTTCTTATGCAAACTCTGTTACATATATCATAACATTTGTTCATACTGGTTAACAATACTTCTCGGCTAATTGTAACTTGTAACACTTTACACTATACAGAATATGATTTGACTATATATTGTATGTTTACAATTTTATGTTAAATAAACAAATTATGTTATGTTATGTTATTATGTATAGGTTAAAGTTTATGAGTACGTACTTTCAAAATTAAATTGGTCAGGCGCGGCACACGCATTTGACAAAAATTAATTTCCAACACTAAATATAATTACAATTCATGTAACTCCATAATCTCCAGTCTACATTTCATATTGCCACACGACTGTGTGTTTATTTGTCAAATAAAACAATATATTGGAAATATTATGTTTCAGAAGAGTTAGTTTAACTTTCTAAATTTCTTTGTAAGTAATAAATTTAAGTCAGTAGAATAATGCATTGTTACACTTATTACCAGTTTGATAACTATTGGCAGTTTCCACATGACCATTGATGTGTTTAGCTGTACTATAGATATATCTTGGATATATCTTGCTCCACACCTATGAGTCACACAAACTTCTTACAAATATATGCCGACTGACTTCGTCGATATCAGTATGAAAAGACATTTTCTGAATGTCAATTTTATATATTGTAGAATTTAACATTTACGATTACTTCCACACAACCATCTACAGTCTTAATGTATAATCCTTTTTAGTATTATAACTTGTAAAGGTTCTTCATATTTTATCATGTAAATGAAACACACACCCTTATTAAATAAAGTTTTTCACATATAGTTTCTAATGATTATATCTTTTTAGTTCAACGTTTTCGAAGAAAAGTTGCGATCTTTTGCTACAGTCAGGTTGTCGTACCCGTTCCAATTTCCATTTATAAACGTTAATATTGATCATTATTTTTTTACTTCGAGATAAGGTTCTTGTACTTAGTTAAATATGATAATTAGAAGTTATTATAAATTATTGAGTACAATTCTGCATTTTATTGTTCGATCCCACAGCTGTCAAACTTATATTGAACGAGGTTCTGTTCAAGTTTTTGAAACGTTTTGCAGCTATGTACAGTCCAATAGAATCAGAATAGTATTCAACAATGTAATATGACACCACTCGGAAAATGGAAACGAGGATGAATTGAAAAAAAGACATTGATTCAAAAGTGATTTATATTTGGAGATTTGTAACATTTCATTTGGTGTGAAATAAAAATGATTCTTGTACAAATTAACATTTATTTTATTATCAAAAAGCAATGAAAAAGAAAGTAGAAATCTCAACTTATTTTCTTCTCAAAGTGTATTTTTCTCTTTACTATAACCCAGTACTCTATGTACATTTGTGTATTTTTCTAACCTACTACCTTTTTATATGTAAGGCACTGTCATACCTGTTTCTAAAGGTTACAAATGAAAGTAATACATAGTGTTTTGCTAGTTATGAAATATCAATGTTTTTACTGTTCGTTTTCAACGGCTGTTAATTGCGACATGATCAATCATCTAATTAAATCTTAATAACCTAGAGAAATAAAATGCAAGCACAATGCTAAGAAGGCCTTTAAAGTATTTTCTTACAAACGTACTCTGGAATTGTGCAGAGAACAAGGCAGATCAATTAAAATAGTCGAGAACAAATGTACTTTTCCGTTTCCAGACGAAACCTTCTATATAAAAAAAGAAAAGCGGGAGAACGACGGCGTAGAGATAGAAGGCAAACTTTTAGAGGATTCAGAAATTCTTCAAGATGCATCCGAAAATGATTTAACTGAATACGACGAACTCGTAGTAATTACGGCGTTCAATATTTTATCGGATACTTTTATGAAAATAATTAAAATATCTGCCATTTCCTTTAATTAAATTATTTCTCTCGAAGTATCTGTAATTTTAAAGTACAAATATTGAGATATGGGTCGAAATGTCTTATCCACTAGGGGTCAAAAAGACATGTAAAAAGGGGTCTAAGCGTCAAGGGGTCTAGAAGTCATCTTAATATTGTAAGAGGTCGAGTAGTCAATGGGTCTAAATGTCGAACTTGCCCTCTACTCTACCTCGTTTATGAGGTTCAATGAAGAATGCAATTCCCTTTGACGCACTGGATTGAGATTTTTCATGGCCGTTTCCTCCAATTAATGGGAGGCCCAAATCATTATTGACAGAGACCAGTCATTCATAAAGCAACAAGTAAATTATGTAATTCCAGATAAAAAAATTCTCGCGCAGCAGAATCAAATTATTAAAAAGAAACACCGGAATTCAACATAGAAATTATAGACAGTGTTTCTCAAAACGACCCAAATCAGTTGTTAATCGACAAGATTTGTGTAGATGGAAAGAAAATAAATCCCAGTTATAGAGGTGAAATGGATCTATGGGGATATGAAGATGTTCCTACCTCAGGAGAGAGAGGAAAATGACATACAAATGAAGTTGAAATTATACCCTCTGACATAAATAAAGTCGATCTGAGGGACAACTGTAGCATCTCCATAAAACTTTAAAGCAACATGATAAAAAATCGATTTTTTGAAAGTGAAAATGATATTGCTTTGTGTAAAAGGCAAGTGTGTTTTCATATATTATCAGCAGTTTGCGAACAAGCATCTATCAAACTGAAATTGCATTAAAGACATGCCTACTCCTGAAAAATTGTGTATTGATGGGAAACATAAACCAGGCAATAGGACTGGAATGTGTGAAACCTCAGAAAACGTATCTTGAAAGCAAGAGTAAAGATCTGGATCCAGAACATGTGAGGATTACAGCGTTAATTGGACCAGAAAATAAACTCATTGCAGCGTCAGAACCATAAATAAAATTTAGCAGGTATTGAGGTCAAATGCCCTATGCCAATGACATGTAAACTATATGCAACTCCAGTACAATATGTGTTATCGCATTGTTACATTCCACAAATATTGAGCGAGATGATTAGTCTTCAAGTGGAGAGACTGTACTTCGTCTCATATAGTAAGAATTCACCAGCGTTGCAAATTGGTCAAGAGATTATTACAGATCCAAGAAAATTATCTTCTAATATTCCGAGACTAACAAAGAGTATACACTGGTTCTAAAATCACATATTATTGCATAAATAAAATCAAATGTTGATAAACATTAACTCATCAAGAAAATGTAAGTGGTATAATTTGTTACAGAAAATAATTAATATGCACAGAGTGAAACATTGTTATATAAAATTCCGAAAGTGTTCGTCAGAGCAAAGGAACGTAATGAGTTTTATGCTGTCAAAGCAATTGAGGTAGGCAGACCTTGAAAGAATCCACAAGCCGGAAAGTCCATTTTTATCTTATGCATATATGGATTTATAGGATGATCTGCTAAGAGTCATATGTTCTAGAAGGTGCTGTATGAACTGTATGATAGTGGCATAAATACCCTTTTTGTTTTATATAAAGGTCATTCTTGGCGATCTTGCAAACCATTTCTAAAACAATGTCGAGGGAGAAGATATTGGGAATATCAAGATGTATACGACTGTTGTTCAGGTATCAAGTTACTTGTGAGGATTTTTTTAAAGCAGCTCATTACTTTTGACCAAAACAATAAACATTCTTTTAAAAACACATTCAGTCTTTTTATGATGACAATCTTCTAAATTAAAAATATGTTAAACTCTATTGCCAAGTTGAATACTATTACATGTATCTAAGAACAAAGTACTAATTCGGTATTCCCGTAAGCTTACTTAAACTGTTAAATTGACAAAAAAAAGACAAATACTAATGTAAAGTTCTTTTCATAAAAATACTCTGTCAAATTACATGAATACACTTTTGTCAAAAATTACTTTACTTTACTTTTACGAATAAGTTATTTGGCTACTTTACATTTTGAAGATACGGTTATCAGTTCAAATTTTATAGCCTATACCTTATTCTGTTTGTAACATTTTTTTTTCAAAATAATTTCGATAATTGAAACAATTTTAACTGATCTGACAATTCAAGATTGACAATCTAATCTTGATTCATTTTACACGTTAACATCACACTTTCAAATATTAATTTCAGTCTAAAAAGGACAATATGTCAAAACTACTTTTAAATATTTTTCAAAACAAATTCTTTTATTGTAAACTTTATAATGACAAAATAGTAATCAAAGAATAAATTTGAAATGCAAACAATTTGAAATATCTTATATATGTTCAAAATTACAGTAAATACAGGGAAAAAGTGTAATCTGTAAAGCATGTTCTCTTTGGAATTTAAAATTTACAAAACACTAACATACCAAAAACGAGTTGTAAAAGAATGTTTTCTTGTAAGTCAAACTAAAAACAAATAGTTATAATTTCAAAACTTTGCAGCGTTTCAGAAGAAAACTTTTAAAGCTTTTGTTGCACTCTTTATATGCATACTTGCTTTGTTGGTGCATTGTTGCTCATATGGTATTTTTCTCGGCTGTATGGTTGCTGATTTGTGCAAGGCGAAAACACGAAAATACGACCATTTTTAGTCCCCTACCGGTTTACCGGAGGGGACTTTAGGTTTACCCTCCGTCCGTCTGTCCGTCTGACCGTCCGTCAGTCCGTCTGTCCGTCCGTCAGTCCGTCCGTCCACAAAACTGGATCCCGCGATAACGCAAAAAGTACTGAAAATATTTTAATGAAACTTGATATATGGATAGATGGCAGTATGGAGGTTATGCACGTCTTTTTCTTTTCTTCCTATGTTGAAAATTCTGGTTGCTATGGCAACAAATAGACTGAAAATATGACAAATTTTACACATAAACTGGATCCCGCGATAACGCAAAAAGTACTGAAAATATTTTTATGAAACTTGATATATGGATAGATGGCAGTATGGAGATTATGCACGTCTTTTTCTTTTCTTCCTATGTTGAAAATTCTGGTTGCTATGGCAACAAATAGACTGAAAATATGGCAAATTTTACACATAACCTGGATCCAGTGATAACACAAATGTACTGAAATTATGTTTATGAAACTTGACATATGGGTAGATGGCAGTATGGAAATTATGCACATCCTTTTCTTATCTTCCTATGTTGAAAATTCTGGTTGCTATGGCAACAAATAGACTGAATTTCAAGATTTCTTATTCTAGTTTTTAAGTTTTTTCACTATAAGTTCTTTATTTCTTAAGGTATTTTCTTCAAACTTTAAATATAAGTTGCTTGTCATCAACCATATCATATGTGGCAAGGTTTACAACTCTAGTACAAAATTTATCAGAATTACCTCCTTGAACTTAAAATTTTCATGAAAAAAAACATTGTTTTTTTTAATAACTTCTTTTTCTAAATATATCTACTTCAAACTTCATATAAATGTTTCTTATTGTCACTCAACATTTGTGAGTGTTCAATACTCTAGCAAGACTATTTCCAGAATTATGCCCCTTTTTGAACTTAGACTTTTTTTTGAGAAATTGGTAATTTTTACTCCAACTTCTTCAATCATGATAGGATTTTAAAAATGATATATTTTGATAACAGGGATGTTTAAAAAATAACTTTAGAGTGTCCTTCAGTCCGTCTGTCTGTACATAAAAACTGTTTCCTGTGATCACTTTTAAAGAACTTTTTCAACAAATTAACTTAAAATAGGAACATAAGTGAATGGCCCTTCAGAATGTTGCTTGGGCTCTTACCGGTAGGGGACTTATGGATTGCTTGCAATACTATGATAATTGCTTGTTTTGTCATAATGTCGTGTTTTCACCTCGCGCTAAGCAGTGCGAAAGTACGACAAACTGTTTTCTGTCTTTTTTTTTTTAGTTTTT